GGTAAAGCGGAACTTTGTGACCTTGGACTCCAGGCTCAATGGGACCTGGAAACAGAGATCCTCTGCCTGCTTCCACCAATATCCAGCAACTCAGAGATTACACCCAGAAGACTCACCCTGCCAGAGCGAAATAAATACCTCATCGGCCGACCTCCACTACCTTCACTACCCAGCCGCTGCCACACTCCAGGCTGCTTTCCAGACTGCACAGCTGGAAACATCATAAGACACTTATACCCACTTTTTATTATTACCTCACCATATTTGATGGGGTTCAAATATGGTTTGAACCATGGGAACACCTGCAAGGGTGAATAGAGGCCACCCTAAAAGCCTCTATCCATCTCGGAGAGCCCGGCAAGCTACCGAGAGTATCCTGCCCACACGGCAGAGCCTGGCAAGCTAACCATGGCATATTCAATATGCCAAAAACAGTAAATACAATAGGTATCATTCCTCTGACCCTGAAAGAGCCCCCAGTATGGCAGCGTTAAGATGGATGAGCAAGGAGAGGCTGATAAAATATCAGGGCCAAACTAGACTGCCAAAATGAAGAAGGACTAAAATGACTGTCTGTACTTTCAACGCATGTACACTGGCATCAGAAGCATCCATCGAGGACCTGATGGTGCAAGTGCAGAAGATCAAGTACAACATCACTGGTCTGACCAAGACAAGAAGGCTTCAGTCACATCATGATATTTTTAACACTGGAGAATAAATGTTCTTCAGAACATGTGAGAAAAGAGGCATCGGTGGTGTTGGTGTCCTTCTCAACACAAACTTGGCCATGAGCATTGATTCATTTAAATGCCTAACAACCTGAAACGGACAATTACACTTGAATAGATGTGGCTCACTGCCGGCAGTTTCTATCTTCATTGTCTATGCAACAGCATCCAATTATGATGAAGAAGAAATTGAGAAGTTCTACATGGAGCTGGAGAAGTTCTATAAAGAAGACTACACCTTCTACAAGATCATTGTCAGTGATTGTAATTCCAAGATAGGACCAAGAAAATCGGTCGAAGAACTCCACATCAGGACCCATGGCCTAGAATGGAATGAATAGGGTGAGAGACTGAATTCATTATGTCAACCAAGACCATCCATGGTAACTCACAGTTCCAGAAGGCCGAATCCAAATGTTGGACATGGAGTCTCCTGGTGAACAGTTCCACAACGACATTGACCACATCATACTCAATTGACAACAATTCGCTATTGTCCCAAAATTCCAAACAGGATCGGACCACTATTTCCTTTGTGCAAAATTCTACATCACAGAGTTGGGAGAAAGGGTGGCAAGTTTAAGAAGAGAATTCCCAGAACGACCACCTACTGGGAGTTCTTTGACACTATTGCGGCTGTCGTTGACAGCATTGAAGAGGAATACGATTGACTGATTCAGCACCTCCATGATTGTGCAAGGAACATGGAGAGAGAGATAGCCAAAAAAAGATGCCTGTCTTCAGAAACTCTCGAGCTCATTCACCAATGTGGCTTGGCGTTAGCCTCAGGCAACCACAAGCTAATGTCCAAGCAGAGAAGTGATAAAGGAAGACCTCAAAGAGAGAAGAGCAGCAGTGATGGCCGATGTGGCAGAAGCAGGGGAAAAGCATTCGCAACGCCCCTCTGTCCTTCGCCAATTACAAGACCAAGATGACTGCCCTCTGATGTCCTGATGACTCTATCACATCTTTTATACAGGCAATAGAGAAGATTATCCATGACTTCTACTCGGATCTCATCGATAGCCATGTCCACCTGCCCACATACCAAATTCCACAGGATGGATATCTCATTCCCAACGTTCTCCCTTCCGAAATCTGACATGCCATTTCATCAGTAAAGAAGCGAACAGCACCCAGCCCAGTCAAGGTCAGACCCAAACACCTGAAGAATCTGCCATCAGTACTCATCAATATACTGGCTCAACTCTTCACAGCTACCTGTCTAAATGCAAGGTGGAATCCCAATGGAAAACCAGCAGGACCATTCTGTGTACAAGGAGGGAGACATCCACGACATTGGCAACTATCACTTGATCTACCTTTTCTCTGTTGTCTACAAGCTGTTCACTTGAGTCATCCTGAATAGGATTGGCAGAATACTCAATGAAAGACAACTATGCGAGCAAGCTGGGTTCCAAAAAGGATTCAGCACAATAGACCATATCTACATAGTAACCAAGCTCATTGAGGTTTCTCGGGAGTTCAAGATGCCACTCTGTCTAATGTTCACTGATCTAAAGAAGGCTTTTGATTCTGTTGAGATAGAAGCAGTCATCGAAGCCCTAGCCAAACAGGGCATTCAAACTCAATACATCAGGATCCTCCGTGAGCTGTATTACAGATTCACTACCAGGATCTCACCATTCTACAAGGAAGTGATCATCAACACCAAGAGAGGGGTTCGGCGGGGTGATACCATTTCACTGAAACTCTTCAGTGCCACCCTCGAGAACATCATGCGATGATTGGAATGGGAAGAAATGGAGTGGATGATCAGCAACTATGCCACCTCTTCTTCGCTGATGACATCGTTCTAGTAACATCAAACATTAGCCAAGCGGCACAAATGCTGACCGACTTTGACTGTGAGTGTGGAAAGGTCGGACTGCAGCTGAATCTCAGGAAGACAATGTTTATGAGAAACGGACTTGTTCCTGACGTTCCATTCACTCTCAATGGAACGAACATCTCCAAATGCAAAAGTTATGTGTACCTAGGTTGAGAAGTCAACATGAAGAATGACCTGGCAACTGAGTTGCGCAGGAGGAAGAAAGCGGCTTGGAACGCCTTCAAGAGCATCGAAGAAATAGCTAAGAGGACGAAGAACCCCCGGCTCAGGGCACATCTCTTCAACTCCACTGTTCTTCCTGCATTAACGTATGCCTCAGAGACCTGGGCCCTATGAAAACAGGATGAGAATGCTATTCGGGTCTCCCAAAGTTGAATTGAAAGAGAAATGCTTGGAGTATCACTCTTCACTCAAGTGAGAGAAAGAATCCGGAGTTCTGACCACTGTCAACAATAGAGAATCAGAGATTCCATCTGGTTTGCCAAGGCATCGAAAATCAGATGGTCTGGACACGGTGCAATTTGGAGACGACCACTGGACTAGAGCCTTTACCGACTGGATTCCATGGGATGTCAAAAGATCGTGTGTCAAAACATGTCAAAACACCTACGAGATGTTCAGACTTCTTCGTCAAGACCTGAACAAAATGGTCAAGGCTCTTTGTGTTCCTGGAGTGAGCAGATTCCATTGGGCTACACTAGGACATGACAGGAACAAATGGAGAGGTTACTGGTGCTCACTCGAGCAAATCGATGAGTAACGAGATGTCAAATGATCAAGAGGCTGTCTCAGTACCAATAAATGCCTTGTGCTTCATTTTTTTATTTTCTTCAAAGTATCAGGACTGTAGTAGGTCTTTCTATGTTAAGGGAAGGTGTGCTTAGATTAAAGGAGCAAGTAATAGTCAATACTTGGCCAAACCAGCCCCTGAAGGAGCAATTACCCACATAGCATGGGGGAACATAGCCATCTCATTAGTATTACAGATCATGAACTATTTGACATAAAAGCAGAGTTCTACTAATAAATTACAGAAAACAATGTGTTGTAAATCACTGAGAGCTCAAGATAAATCAGAAGGTAAAACATCAGTGATACTTTATTCAGCAGTGAAACAATTGCTTTAAAATATATATGCATATATATATGTATACGTGTGTGTACCTTTTGTACACTTGTTAAAGATACCTCTTCTCTCTCTATGAAGAAAACATGCATTTAGAATTCTAGTATGAAAATAAGAATATATATTTTAATTCCATTCTGTGATTTAACTATGCTGATGTTGAAACCTTGTGATCTTTTCCACTTTAATTTCCTCATCCTGGAGTGTTGGCCAAAGGCAAAACCTTTCCAGCTTCTGCATCTGTCTGTCCTTCTTTAATCGTTCCAACTAACTGCACATTTTGATGTTGAAATTTTATCTTTCTGTTGATCCCACTAAGGAAAAGGTCTCTTCAACAACTATACCTTGTTTGTTCTCCCAGGTACTTATCTGTTCCAACTAATAATGAAGTTAAGATTTTAAAAAGAAAGGGAACAAGTTTTTTTTTAATTTTTTTTATTTTTTTTTTATTTTTAGTGAAACACCATGAGGTACAGTTATAGATTTACAATTTTTTGTGCTTGGGTTTTGATTATACAATGATCAAATACCCATCCCTCCACCAGTGCCCATTTTCCACCACCATGGATAATATCCCCCCCACCCCCATCCCTCCCATCTCACCCTGCCTCTGTGGCAGGGCAATCCCTTGTGTTCTCTCTCTCCTTTTGAGTGTTGTGGTCTGCAAAACAGGCTTTGAGTGGCAAATATGTTCAGTCCATAGTCTACTTTCAACATGCATGTCCCCTCCTGGGAGGATCCTCCAGACACCCTTTATTTGGTGCTCCCTTCTCTATCTGAGCTGCCCTTTCCCCTAGAATGCCTGGCTGGCCTCTAAGGTATGGAGTAATCCTCCTTGTGTTGATCTCAGCTATTCTTGGGTATTAATCTCATATTTTGTTTCTTCATATTCCCCAGATGAATGCAATCTTTCTATGTCTATCCCTCTCTTTCTGACTCATTTCGCTTAGCATGATACTTTCCATATTGTACCACTTGTATATAAATTTCATGACTTCATCTTTTCTAACAGCTACATAGTACTCCATTGTGTAGATGTACCAAAGTTTCTTTAACCAGTCATCTGTTCTTGGGCATTCAGGTTTCTTCCAGGTTCTGGCTATTGTAAAGAGTGCTGCAATGAACAAACAAGTGCAGATATCACTTCGACTATACATTTTTGCCTCTCTGGGATATATTCCCAGGAGTGGTATTGCTGGGTCAAATGGGAGCTCAAGGGAACAAGTTTTTAAGTTGTTGATAGATCTCTTGCCATAATGCCTTTGTGTAACTTACTGAACCTTTCTTGCAGGAGATGTTCCCAAGCTCAGAAGTCCTATTGAGAAACAGCCGACTCAGAAAATGTCAGAATCTCCCCAAAAGACCATTTGCACAGGTATTGGTTATGGGTGATATGACAGCATAAGAAGTGATCTTTGACATTTGCCTTGATGACGTTCCATTATATGAAGCTCTTCGAAACTTCTGTTGTGTGACTACACTGAATAATGTCAGCTCTAGCAATATTAACAAAAAGGACAAATAGATAATCGGCTTATCTGTTCAAGCATTGCACAAGTTTCCATGTGGGGAGTTTCTGCTAGGTTTGGAATCAACATCACCACTCTCTAAACAAAATCTGGGAAGGGTCCCCATAAGACAACTTAGAATGCATATGATACTTCTTTTCACTGAATCATTCATTTGACCAGTGCTTTGCCAATAAGTTTGCCAAAATAGCAATATAGGCCAGGAAAAAAAGAGTTGTTGGGGCTTTTGTTTGTTTTTTGTTTGATTTTTGCTTTTTGCTATGCTGTGCACAGCTGTGCTATGCTGTGCACAGCGGGTAGGGTGTTTGCCTTGCACACAGCCAACATGGCCGACCCGAGTTTGATTCCTCCGCCCCTCTCGGAGAGCCCGGCAAGCTACCGAGAGTATTCGATATGCCAGACACAGTAACAACAAAGTCTCCAATGGAGACGTTACTGGGCCCGCTCGAGCAAATCGATGATCAACGGGAGGGCCTTACTTTACTTACTTTTGCTTTTTGGGTCACACCCCATGATGCTCAGGGGCTATTCCTGGAATTAAGGAATTAATTCTGGCAATGCTTGAGGAACCATATGGAAGGCCAGGGATCAATCCTGGGTCAGCAATCTGCAAGGCAAACACCCAACCCTCCGTACTATCACTCCAGCCTCAAATCAGAGTTTTAATAGGTTAGTTGGGGAAGGCTGAACTTGACTACGTGGCCGTCAAGAGAGGCAAGAGAAGAAAAAGATAGTTTTACTGGGAACATTACCCACAAGTAATAACCATTTCTTTCTCTTTTATTTTTTTCATATACCTCTCAAATTTAAAATCAGTTTAATGATTCGAGACTGTTTTCATGCATTAGTATTCATGATGATGTTCTTGACTCCCACCAAAATAAGTAAATAAATGTAACAAACTTCATACATACTGAGAAGAGAAAGTAGAAAACTAACATCCACTGAGCATTTAAACAGGCATTACCCTGGCTCCTTCATTGGTATTTTTTGGCTTTTCTATTTTTGATAATGACCTTATAGTCAGGTACTGTTTCACAAAGGAGAGAATTTAGGCTCAGAGTGACTTGCCCAAGTAATGAGACAGAACCAAGGTTTGAAGCCACTGCTGCCAAAACTCCCAATTCTGTGATCTTTTCATTTGACTGTGATGATGACAATAAGCACGTGTAATTGTCGCTGAGAAGGTGCAGTTCCACTGCTGCTCATGCTACAGTCACTCAAGAGACACAGTGATGGGTAGAGCAAGGCCTTTATTGGCAATAAGCCTGCCCCAAGTTGGAAGATGGAAAATTCATAGCCAACCCTTCCCCCCCACCAAAAAAAATAAAACCATTTTGCATACAGAGTCAAGGCTTTATTGGCTGTTATTCTCTTACTATGCTTCTTTATAGCCCACATATGAGAACTAGCATTCTATATCTCTCTCCTTCTAACTTCTCTCAGCATGATACTCTCCAGATGCATGCATGTAGCAGCAAATTGCATGATTTCATTTTTTCCTTACAGCCAAATAGTATCCCATTGTGTGTGTATATATCACAGTTTCATTATCCCCTCATCCGTTCTTAGACACTTGGGCTGTTTCCAGGTTTTGGCTATTGTGACTAGTGTAACAATGAGCATAGGAGTGCAGATGTCTTTTCTGAATAGAGTTTTTGGGCCCTTAAGGTTGATGCCAGGAAGTGGAATTGCTGGATTATATGGGAGCTCATGTCACTGCAAATAAAGGTTTCTGATTAAGCTTTCAGCCCTCTTATCCTTCGGTACAAAGAAGTGGGGACAATCTCAGTGTTTTCAAATAGACAACTTTTTTGATTTCTTATTTTTTTTTTTCAGGAAAAGCCAGATAGAAGTACTATTTTGGGGGAAGGGGGCACATTGGGGACTGGTGCTATACCCAGCTCATTGCTTATTTATTGCCAGTGATTTCTGGTAATACTCAGGATCATTCACAGTATTGGGGATTAAACCCCAACCTCCAGCATGCAAAGCATGCATCCAACCAGATGGCCTATCTCTCAGGCCCCTCTGTTTTCTAATATTAAATTCAGTTTTTAACTTGTTTGGGCTAGCTTAATAATCACAGACAGCTTGCAACAATGACAGTCAGATGTGGGGTCAGATGTGCCAGGACTGAGTCCCACCCCTGTTACTTACCAGCTCAAAATCTTGTCAAAATCTTGATCTTTAAAATGGACATAACTGGGCCCAGAGTGATAGTACAGCAGGTAGGGCATTTGCCTGGCACACAGTCGACCCAGATTCAGTCCCTAATACACTATATGGTCCCACGAACCCCACCAGGAATGATCTCCGAACACAAAGCTAGGAGTAAGCCCTGCACACCATTGGGTGTGACTCAAAATCAAAATACAATGGGCATAACAGTAATTCTAATTCAGATTCTTGTGGGAATTAAGTGATAGTATACATGTAAAGTATCTCACACAACTCTAGGCACAAAGCCTTCCTTACTAATGGAATAAAATGTAAGAAAGTGTTGGCAATGGCAAGGAATTATGGGATTGATAAACTACTCTTGCCCTCAGAGTAAAACTTCCCTATCTGCTATGATGGGCAATGAATTCACTGGCAAGACAGCACAGAAAAGAACCAGTGACGTAGCTCAGTGACACAGTGCTTGCCTTGTGTGTATGTGGCCCTGAGTTTGACCCCCAGAACCATAATTTTTTTTACCATAACTATTTTTTTGTTTGTGACCACAGCCAGCAATGTTCAATGCTTACTCCTGGCATAGTGCTCAGAGATCACTCTTATTAAAGTTCAGAGACCCTCTGTGTTGCCTTAGATCTAACCCATGTTGGCTGCATGCTAGGCAAGTACCTTATTTGCTTTACTGTCTCTCTGGCCCCTAGCCTATTTTTTTTTTAAGTTAAAAGCAGCTATGCCCAGCCTCTGCAATGGCAAGGTGCCTGAATATCAGTGATACCCTGACAGAAAGGAGGGAACTGCTTATGAAGCAAAGGTCAGCAGAGCTGAGTGCCAAAGAGGACTGGCAGAGCCGACTCAGAATACGAACCAATCAGCCAGGAACGTATCTGCTTCTTTTGTGTATTGTCATGTTGGCGGAAATTTGGCCCCTCAATAGAACTCTGGGAGTTCTTGGTGTTGTAGATACAGTGGGCTAGGAAATAACCCTGGATGTTCTGAGTCCTTACCGACAGAGACAGGGGTCCCTGCTGCCAGGCATTTTCAGTACACTCTCTTCAGTGTGGCTGAAAACCCGTTCACTCCTATATTTGCTAGCCTAGAGAGTGCCTTGGGACGAGGATTGACAGTAATTACATGTATTTATCGGGGTTTTTGTTTTAACAAAATAGAAGCTACATTCCCTTGTGTTAGGAGCCTTTTCTTTGACTCTGACTTCCAGGTTTTTACCAGTTTGGTTCCACCAGAGACCATCTTGGGAAGCAGTTTAAAATGCAACTGGAATTTGCAAGCCTTAACAGGGATGCCAACAAATAAAACTGAAAATGAGGGGATGGGGTTGAGCAAAGTTGCAAGCTGAAAAATACCTCAGAGTTTTGACTCTGTTGTGGCCAAGACCTGGTGTCCCTTGTGTCCTGATCCTGGATCCCGAGAGCCCTCCTCAGGAGTCTCTGCAGGCTCTTTCTGTTGTCTCCCTGCCGCCTGCTCCAAGCTCTGCGTCTGGCCTAAGGGCCTCCACACATGGGATAATGGAGCTGAGCCCAGGCAAACCTGGGGAACAGCTTTGTTCCCAGGCAGCAGAGCCAACCAGGTTCTGCCAGGGTAGGTCAGGAAGTGGGTTGTTTGCAACTGTGTAGAGAATTGTTTGCTCTGCGAGATTGTCTCCTGAAGTCTCCCTGGCAGCACTCTGAAGCACTTTGCTCCAGCAGGGTCCTGTGCTGGCACTTCTCACTACAGAGCCTTCATCCTTTGCTCTCTGCCTGGCTCTAACTTGTGACTGAGATCCAGCAGATGAAAAATGTTGATGGTGATGGAGAAGAAGGGGGGAACAGCCCACAGTTCTTTTTCCAAGCAAATGCCTCGCTGGCTGTGTCAGAAGTCCAGGGCTAGTAAGTGATCGATTCAACTTTAAACATCTGCTTTAACCTTCATATGCCTAGTAATTTTCTGCGAGTTGTCTTTAGTAATAGGTGGTAACTGAAGTTTGGGGCTATCATGAGACATTTTTAGGGTATTTTTTCCTTTAAAATTCAGAGGTCGGGGGCTGGAGCAGTAGCATAGCAGGTAGGGCATTTGCTTTGCACACGGCCAACCCGGGTTCGATTCCCAGCATCCTATATGATCCCCCAAGCACCGCCAGGGGTAATTCCTGAGTCCAGAGCCAGGAGTGACCCCTGTGCATCGACAGGTGTGACCCAAAAGCAAAAAAATTAAAATTCAAAGGTATCCTGGAGTTAGAGTTTTATATACAATTTCACCCCATTGGGTGAAAAGGGGTGAAAAAACCCTTTCTTTGGGACAAGAAAAGAGAGGAAAGTCAATGCTTTATTCTGAAATGTGACAGATAAATTTGAGCTTAATCCAGGTGCTGAATCTCCACTCAGGTCTCCTTTTAATCTGTAAAAGGGAAGCAAACAGTTGGCATGTGTTCAGTAAAAATACCTCCGGATTCTGTATCGTAATTAGGACTCAATATATCCTAGGTTCCCTTTAATCCCTGTGAGATCAATTTCTTGCCAGTTGTTAATGTCACTTTTCAAAATAGTTATCTTTAATATGCGTAATTGTTAAAAAGAGTCTGCATTTAGATCTTAATATTAAGTATTCACATTGTGTAATTGTATGAGATTAAGTTTACTGAGTAAACCTTTTATGTTTTCTGTTCATAAAAGTT